CGAGTCCCCCCGGGGGGAGGGGGGGGGCTCCCCCCCCCCCTATAAAGGCGCCGCGAAATATTACACGATTTTAGAAAAGCTGAAATGATCATTGCTGGGGAGAAGACCGTGCGTCAGATTGAGTCACGTGATCGCGTTAATGTGATTCCGAGGAAAATGGATCAAAACCGAAAACGTCGTTCCCACTATTTATGATGGAAGCCCGCTCTCGCCTAGTACTATTAAATTAATGGTACAAGATCCAAGACTTGGACTTGGACCAAGAACGAAGAAAAGATACTGTGTCAATTTCATCGTTATGAAAAACAGCTTGACTTCACTATAAGGAAAGAAACTTCTGAAATTTGGGCTGTTATTGTAAATTTCTATACTTTGGAAAGTGTCGATAAGTCTTTATCTAAGATATCACCTTCTCTTAAAATACTTGAACATTTTCCGATATTTTGATGACCAGGAGGGAGACATCAGCTGTAATCGTACACCTATAACTATAAGTAAATGCTGAGGTCATACTCATACCAGTTACCCGTTCATCTGTTCGTGTACCTCTTGCAATGGAAGTTAAAGTCAAAGCTGAAGTAGATAGAACGATTGACCAAATGAGGTATCTTCGAACCTGTTGTTGAACCAACTGACTGGGTTAGTCGACTGGTCCAGGGCCGTCTTAACAACAAAGGAGGCCCTGGGTACAACAATGCACTGGGGCCCTTTAGCAACACAACATACCTGGGCCGTGGAGGGGGGGGGGGGGGGGGAAAAAGTTCCTGATCCTCACCAAAAGGAAAACAAAGGTAAAATAAACATTTAAAAAAGTTAANGATGACCAGGAGGGAGACATCAGCTGTAATCGTACACCTATAACTATAAGTAAATGCTGAGGTCATACTCATACCAGTTACCCGTTCATCTGTTCGTGTACCTCTTGCAATGGAAGTTAAAGTCAAAGCTGAAGTAGATAGAACGATTGACCAAATGAGGTATCTTCGAACCTGTTGTTGAACCAACTGACTGGGTTAGTCGACTGGTCCAGGGCCGTCTTAACAACAAAGGAGGCCCTGGGTACAACAATGCACTGGGGCCCTTTAGCAACACAACATACCTGGGCCGTGGAGGGGGGGGGGGGGGGCAAACAGTTCCTGATCCTCACCAAAAGGAATACAAATGTAAAATAAACATTTAATAAAGTTAAACGTCGATGAATTCAATTTATTGATACAAAAAACAAAACCATTCAAAATCAATATTTGTTTTAAACCATTATCAGTATCAGAAATAAACTAGACTATAAATAATTTATGATCCCAGGGGATGATAAATTATCATTCTTGACAGCTAGATAGAATAAATTATTTAATATACCGTAAATCAACATAATCGTTTGTGTATTTTTTGTTGTTGAGAGAATTGTTTTATTATTGGTTTAAAGCCAATGGTCTTAAGGATGTCATTCTCCATGCACATAAATTAAAGCCAGTTCAAGAAACGTTTTTGTCGCATTGTACTGCGAAGCTGATACTTACCTTATTTTTATTTTCGATTCATATCTGGGGAAAAGTAAAACGTGTTGATGAGTTATTCCCTTTTAAAGTTTTAAAATTGTCCAACTTTGATTCGCATTTATAATATTAATTTTGGAATGAGCTGTTATATATCGTAGGTTAAAATTGGGAATTGTAAATCCAATTAAATTGTCAAAATCTTTCATCAATGTTTATTAAAAATATGTACAGCATAATGCCTCTACAAGAGTGAGGCTCGTAGAAACGTGGGGCCCCTTACAAGCGTGGGGCCCTGGGGCAGTGCCCACTGGGCCCATGCCTTAAGAAGGCACTGGACTGGTCATCGCAGCAAAGAAATCAGGAGAACTGCCTAGATCTTCGTCCTTAAAATAAATCATTTAATAGAGAGCGATTTGCTCTTTCCATTGAGGAGGACATATTTTATAGAAACTGTCCAATGCCAAATGGTTTTCTAACCTGGCTAATGCTTACTGGCATGTAAAGCTTGATGAGGAATCAAGTCAACTGACTACATTAAAAACTCCTTTCGGACGATACAAATTGTGGAAAAGACTACCATTTTGGAACATCTGTAATCTCAGAACTGTTTCAAAAACTTATTAATGCCACTTTTGCGGGACTTGATGGGACGATAGATGTCGCAAATGATGTAAGAATTTATGTTTCTGGTGAAAAATTAACAGCAGCTTCTCCGGACCACGACAAGAACATTATCGCTTTGTTATAAATCTATGTATGTCGTTCAGTTGGAATAAAGCTTAAAAAGGTAACGACTGAAATTAAAATGAAGGAAATTTCATTCTTGGATCATCTAATAACAAGTGAAGGCTTTAAAATAGATCCAGAAAAGGTAAGAGCGGCCAAGGAAATGAAGAAACTAAAGAATATTGAGGACGTGGCGTAAGATGTGGCTTTGTCAGTTATCTTGCAGAGCTTTTTCTCAGACTATTTGAAACTTTGGGTCTATGCGCCAGCTATTTCGTATGGATATCAATTGGTTGTGGTCTGAAAACCATTCCATGGTGGCCAAACTACTGTGTTGGCATTCTATGATGTGCAGTCATTGTTGCCCAAACTACTGTGCTGGCATTCTATGAGTTGCAGTCCTTGTTGCCCAAACTACTGTGTTGGCATTCTATGATGTGCATTCCATGGTGGCCAAACTACTGTATTGGCATTCTATGATGTGCAGTCCTTGTTGCCCAAACTACTGTGTTGGCATTCTATGATGTGCATTCCATGGTGGCCAAACTACTGTATTGGCATTCTATGATGTGCAGTCCTTGTTGCCCAAACTACTGTGCTGGCATTCTATGATGTGCAGTCCTTGTTGCCCAAACTACTGTGCTGGCATTCTATGATGTGCATTCCATGGTGGCCAAAATACTGTATTGGCATTCTATGATGTGCAGTCCTTGTTGCCCAAACTACTGTGCTGGCATTCTATGATGTGCAGTCCTTGTTGCCCAAACTACTGTGCTGGCATTCTATGATGTGCAGTCCTTGTTGCCCAAAATACTGTATTGGCATTCTATGATGTGCAGTCCTTGTTGCCCAAACTACAGTGCTGGCATCCTGTGATGTGGAGCCCAGTATTGGCATTCTATGATGTGCAGTCCTTGTTGCCCAAACTACTGTGCTGGCATTCTATGATGTGCAGTCCTTGTTGCCCAAACTACTGTATTGGCATTCTATGATGTGCAGTCCTTGTTGCCCAAAATACTGTATTGGCATTCTATGATGTGCAGTCCTTGTTGCCCAAACTACTGTGCTGGCATTCTATGATGTGCAGTCCTTGTTGCCCAAACTACTGTATTGGCATTCTATGATGTGCAGTCCTTGTTGCCCAAAATACTGTATTGGCATTCTATGATGTGCAGTCCTTGTTGCCCAAACTACTGTGCTGGCATTCTATGATGTGCAGTCCTTGTTGCCCAAACTACTGTATTGGCATTCTATGATGTGCAGTCCTTGTTGCCCAAACTACTGTGTTAGCATTCTATAATCCAGCAAGAGACGTGACTATAATATGCAATGTGATTCTAGCCAAAACAGACTTGGTGTTGAACTTATGCAGAACAGTAAGCCTACAGCTGGTCGATCTCTGACTAATACTGAAATCTGATACGCACAAATTGAAAAAAAAAAAAAACATTTAATTAGTCATTGTGTTTTCTCTGGATATGTTCCAGCAATATACATTTGGTCGGCACACTACGATTGAGAGTGATCATAAGTCTCTGGAAGCAATCATGGCAAAACCTCTCGCGGCTGCTCCTCTTAGCCTACACGGAATGATGCTGAGAATACAAGAATATGATATAAGTGTAAAATATAAAAAAGGAACTTACTGATACACTCTCAAGAACCTATAACAATAATCTGAGCGCAACCAAGGTGAATTTGAACATATAAATATGGCCATGTTCCTATCTATTCGCGAACAAAGACTAAGTATAGACTTAAACATATGGTCAGCTTAAGACCATTCAGAACACAGGACTACCACCAAAACTCACCAACAGCTGACAATGGGATGAGGTGGTCAGCTTAAGACCATTCAGAACACAGGACTACCACCAAAACTCACCAACAGCTGACAATGGGACGAGGTGGTCAGCTTAAGACCATTCAGAACACAGGACTACCACCAAAACTCACCAACAGCTGACAAGGGGACGAGGTGGTCAGTTTAAGCAGTCGACGAGCCGTGGCGAAAGCCGAGAGGGTCACATGTGATTTCCTCATCACTCACAACCCTTTCTTCGACCCAGCATACCGCAGCTGTGATTTTGTGTCATGAACTCGGGTGCGACCTTTCAGGTCAGCAGGAGGCAGACGATCAACCGAGTCAGATAGTAATGTGTGTCAACAAAAACATTATGCTATGGACAAAGCCCCATGGGACTGCGAGTAGTAAGAGAGTATTTAATTATACGGAAAAGACGAACGGTCTACTAAATATTAGGCCTACTGTTCTATTGGGGAAAAAATATAAATTGTAAACAGGAAGTGGACGTGGCATGATCACAACCAAATATATAATATCTAAGAGACTAAGACAAATAATTACACAACATCGCTAATTGAGCAAGTACAGAACTTTGTAGTTGCAATAATTAGTTTCGCAACAATTGCTAGTTGTTTTTCTATTATTATTTATTTAATTCACGGACTCGGTTCCGCTTCACTGGCCGGGTATCTTCCGGGTCTGTAATAATCGGCCTTTCCGGGTGAACACCCGGCTCAGCCTTACTTTCCAGGGCTACTTATGAGCTGGTTTCCACACATCCCTTGGTGCACTGGTCCGTACCGTGGTCTGTAATAGTTGGTATCTTAACTAAAGTGGAAGATTTATCACTATGACCTCTGTACTTCAGACAAACACTAAATAAGCGTTTGTCACCTGCAGGGTCAGGTTGTTGATGAAAAAACAATTAAAAGCTTCATTCTCAAGCAGAAGTCAACACTTTTTGTTGAGGTTCATGCAGTGGCGTAGCTAGGGTTGGTGTCACCCGGTGCGGTAATCTCATGGTTTCACCCCCTACCCGACTTCCACGATGGATTTGTCCTTGTCAAAATACGTCCACACTATAATATAATAATGAAAAGGAAAAAAAATAATAATAATTGAAGGTATTTAAGAAATGTAACATGTATTTAGAATCGCCCGAACACACAGTATTTAGTATCAATAGAAAGCTTTATTTTTCAGAATTTATTTAAATATAGCTTCCTGTCACATACGAAAGTTATACCAATACTTCAATCAGCGTTGAATCATGGTCAAAAAGGTGTTTTTCTGAACTGATTATAGGGTCACCTCATTTCTGACGCATCACCCTTGAACTTTTATAAAGCACGCATTTGGATTGGTTACATGTGTGGAAAATTACATGTGATCGGTTAACCTTTAGTGAAATACGGTTAGACCGAGCATTTTGTGCTCTGTAAATATGCATTTTTTTTTCAATTTGGTGTCACCCCTTGGAGATGGTGTCACCTGGTGCGGTCCGCACCCCCTAGCTACGCCACTGGGTTCATGATTTGTCCTAATAAAATGAATATTTAAAATATTCTTCCTCTTTTCGGCGTGATATTCATTACGTAATAAACTTCCAAATTATATTGCTTAATCAGTGGCGCTGAGCATGCGTTGTGGCAATTGCAGTGACAACATTCAAACGCCCCCCCCCCGAGTTGAAACAAAAAGCACACGTTTTAAACTGAGAACATTACTCTTCAGGTTTGGCTTCTTTCATTTCAAACTAAGTCACCTTTTCTCTTTTTGGTTTGTCTTGATGTGTTCCCGGAAACACGTGTGTTTGTTTAATATTTCAAGCTTCCGTCAACTTCATGACAAAATTACACATTTGGACTTTGAGGAATAACCCCTTGATTTTTACATATCTATTAAATCACTAGTGTTACAAACTATCTAAAAATACCAGTTGTGTAGTTCTGGGCTTACTTAGGTCCATTGAGGTCTACACAGGCGCGGGGATGAGATAAAATCTCCACTTTCGAATTTCTCCAGGTTGTGGTAACAAAATTACAATGGGAAAGGGCAAATTTCAAATACACGAGATGCATAGAATGATTTGTTTAGTTGAAAGAAAATGTGTTAGTTCCTTAGTGAGCACCAAGAGGGTTACAGGAATTGAGTCCATGTCATATAACATATCGCTTACGCGGACACCATCTCCGTACTTAAGGAGATGTGAGTTGTTTTAGCTTGTCCGTGTTATGCAAGGGATTAAACAATGAGCTATTAAAGTTTAGGGTATAATTCCCAAATGGTACCCTTATTTTAACATCTTACCCACCCGAGGAAGAAGAAGAAAAAAACAACACGTGTTAGGTACTAAAATTATTAAATTTTTTTTGAACACTCCCTGGTTTGATAATTTGATTTGCTGACAGATCGAGCTATTACTATAGGCGAAATTGTAATTGTTTCTAATCAATATCATCATTGAATAGTCAACAAGATTCTAACTTATATTAATAATGAGCTCTCGAATTACTCATTATGAAACATAGAAGTGACCAAGGTCCAGGGGGAGGAGGTTAGCTTCCACCACTCAGGGGAGGGGTGGACGCCCCTGTTCTACTATTGCCAATATACTTTCATCAATCAATACTCATTCAAAGTTTGAGAAAGGTGATTCCAACCTATATTAAACTAGTATTACAGACGTAAGGGCGTTCTACGGCACAATGCACATCAGATTTAGGCAACGTTATTGATTGCTAAATCATTTTTGAACAAGCTCATAAACGGTCTCTAAAATTGACAAAGCACAACATTGTACGCTTTTATTAAACACATTATTTATTACCCCTCAGTTTATGCTTATATATTCATCAACTTAATTTTTTATAAATGAACTTTAACAAAAATCATAAAAATTCCGAGGAAAAAAAAAGAAGAATAAAAGCAATTTGACGTGTGTCATCAGAGCTCCTCTAAGGCATCTCCTGCGCTCCAGGCGGTTGAAATGTGGACAGCTGGTTGTTCTATTACAGAAACCAGACCTTGTATTTGTATCTTTGTGCCTCTTCAGTGTCTTCCTTTAATTCTAAATGTTTGAGGACCTCTTGTTTGCATTGTGTTTGTATCAATGCTGTTTCATGAGACAATAATGTAACATCAGTTATTCAGACTCATCCTTTTGTAACTCAGCATAATAAAGGGAATAAGGAAGGAAGGGTCACAATGACATTTTTATGATATACACATAACGAAAAACCACAATGCATTGAAAGCTTATGAATGCTACAGTTAGCTATCATACATATAAATACTGGTTACATTTTATAACATAGAGTTGATAAAGTCATCAATATTAAAATTCTGATAATAAAGGGTTGATACCAGGGGCAACTATACTATAACTATAACTATTCACTATAACCAAAAAAAAAAAAAATGCACCATGACATAATAGATAGCAACCCTTTCAAATGTGTGTTTTTTTTTCCTTGTGGACGTACCTTTGAAGATGCTGCCCTACTTAGACCAAGTTCTCAAGCTCAGCCTTCACTACTATATTGTCATGAACATTTCCAGATTTTATCATCTGAATGTTCTATTGGTGTTAGTACTACCGGTACACACATGTTTTCGCAGATAACATGCACAAACAAAGTTCTTCAGTAATTCATCATTTCATTGAAATCCAATTCAGTGAAAATAAAGCCATTTTCATTTAGTATAAGGCAAATAAAGAAATGAACTTGAGAGACCAGTTGCCAATGACTTAAAATATCAAACAGTTATTTGACCAAAGTTATTACAACTTTTTAATTCATAAGCGAGGTTTGAGTGTCATTTTAAACCCATGAAATCATCTTGTTTGTTAACTCAAACTTTTTGGGGGCAAACTAGTTTTGAACATTTTTGTATATACCATATGACTTGAAGACAAAATAAAATTGTTTGTTGACACCCATTTCTGAAAAAAACAATGTACTGAGATGACTTTAAAATTTAACAAGTTAAAGGCATTATTTAAATTGTCATGTTCTTTCTGAACTTAAATTCAATTCCTAAAACAAGTTTGCCGTAAATGATCAGATAGTGATGACATTCAAGTTTAAAGCAGCGAATTTATAAAATGCCAAACTCATGGACCAAAATATTTATTAGACTTAAAGAGTAATATTCAAGTGCAGAGTTACTAAGATTCAGAGTCAAAAAATACAAAACAAAGTATGCAAAAATACATCTTGACTAGGTAAAGATTCACTTTTTGGAGTGCAGGTTAATTTAACATTGCAATATTATGCCTTAGAGTCAATACAACAAGATGTCTTTTAGAAAATGTTGAATAGAATGCCTCAGAGTCAATACATCAGTACACAAGATGCCTTTTAGAAAACATTGAATATAATGCCCTTTATTTATTAAATCAAAATATTCAGAGTCATCCCATCCTTTTTTTCAAAAATTTCAGAAATTTAATTTAAAGTATATTTGCCACAGGATAAGGCAGAACATAATAAGTAATGTTCTTAGTTTTTTTTTTAATGTATCTATGATACATATTGTAAAGAAAAATATCCATCTAGCAATTTAGTGATATTGTGTACTGTTATCAGTACAGGTTACAATTTGAAAATATTCTGAATATTCACTTCTATATTTATAAATAAATCAAGAATATCTAACATAATGCTTAACCAAGTTAATTAGGCCAATCTAACATTGCCATTTTAGATTTATGACTCAACATGTTATTTCGATTATTTTATATTGAACAATATATGAGGGACTGCATTCAAGGTGTGTGAAGGAAATATTGGAACAAGAATAGTTTCGGCTTTAAACCATAATTAGATCTAGTAACACACGCGTTTTTATTTCCAATTCTTTATCTTTTCTTGTTCTGTCTTGTCTGCTGACGAAGGCATCTAGACAAAACATCATTTAATTGTCCTGTCTGTTCATTTAAAGCCTAAACATATCTTCATCCAAGATTTCCTATGAATTCTTGCTTTTATTTAGTTTATTTCCAAAGAACTAATTATCAGGGATGAACCAAGTACTGAACTGATCCCTGGAAATGCCACGTAATTGCACACCCGGCACATATCCCTACTGGCAACAAAAAAAAAAGAGTTATTTCTCATTTTCTATACAACATTCTTTTTACAAAGTAGCAAAAGTTTATGTGTGTGTGGATCATTTCAAAGCTCTTTCAGGGGCTGCTTAAGAATTTTAATTTAAGGATTGGGGGNGGGGGGGGTATTGAAAAAGTGAATTTTTTTCTTTTTTGAATGAAAAAAATGTAAATATTAATATTAAAAGTGATCGGACTAGTCTGGTTTCTTATTGTTACTACTATACTACAACTACCAGTACATAAAATAAAAATATGATTGATATATGTCAGCAACTATTTTAATACACCTGTAGATATTTTGCCAGTTTTTTTTTCAATTGTTTAAAATTACATTAAATATATATGATTTTTCTTTTTTTTTCTTTCTCTGTTACATTTTTTTGTGTGGCTTAACTTCCATGTAAAACCATAACCAGATGTGTGAATTTTTCAAAATTTTCAGGGGGATTAACTTAAAGTGCCGCCTCTACAGAACCCTCCCCACACCCTTCTTAGTCCTTCATTCTGCTTCCCTCCACCCTGATCAAAATTACAGTACCAACACTGAACTACACAAAAAAAGCTCTGCCCCTCCCCCTTCTCAACAACTGTTCATCAATTTTAAGGTATAATTCTGGTTGTGGATGGCCTCAACTTGGCAAATGGGGTTGCAGTACTAATATTAATATGGTTGAGAGCTGCTGGATTACGATTATGTTTAAACTTTGATTGCTTCTAGTTCAATACATGCACTTCTTACTTCTCCCCATATGATGAAACCCATTAAAAAATAAGAAGATAACTCTTTTTTTTGTAAACCTGGACTCGGACACCAGGTATCGTCTCATAATACCTAGACCGGGGTATAAAAAACTAAATCTGGCTCCGCCCTAATACTTATGCGGGAAGACATGCTGTTTTCTAAACCTAATTTAATTGGTGATGAATTATTTCAACTGACTCATTTATTTATGGAGAAACATGAATATGAAAACTTTGTTCAAGTGTTTGTTGCAATCTGGTAGAGCTGCAGCCAAGGTTATAACATTTTGAATTCAAATGATCAAAAAATATATTTAAAAAATCAGTATATTGAGCAAAAAATGTTGTCACGCATTAGCAGTTATGTTAATGCCACTAGACATGAAGTAATATTCTGAACACATTCCTATTCAGTTAGTTAGAGAAATTACTAATGGAGTGAACATATTTTTTGTTCACAATAATCTCAACAAATTAATAACAAAAAACTACCGGTACTTTTTAAAAATGTCATCAAATACTAATTATTCTTTAAAGATGTGAACTGCAATAATGTGAATTAATAAATACCCTTTAATATGCAAACAAGATTTGAAATTGTAGAAGAAAGTGCTCCTTTTCTTAATCTATTGTACACAAAGTTGGAAAATCTCCAATTTTATGTCTCAAGTTTAATGATTTGCAAGTTACAAAATAGTCTGCCCAACCATATAAAAAATATTTTTATGCTAACATTTGTAACAGAAGAAGTTCAGCATTACTCTTTAACTTAGGTTCTAAATTTATGTTTTAGAGATACTACTTTATTATAATCTTGATAAAATGCAAACTTGGAGCTGCTCTGTCTAATATATAAGGGTATCAGTACCGGGTACCTGAAACTCATGGGTCAAAGCATTTATATGATCACTTGGAGAAAGCTTCAGAAATATTTATGGTACCTTAAGTAACAGTAAAACAGAGAAATAACTTCACCAAGTCTGAAATATAAAACAACATGAGCAGATAATCCCCATCTGTGACGGTGGCTGTATCAATTAAATGTGCAGCCAGTGTGTTGCAGGATGATGTTGGCAACCCTGTGACCTTCATTGACGCAATCATCAATTGACTGACCAGTGATAAGCTTGGCTAAAAATCCTTTGGAAGATTAAAATGTAAAATATTTATTTAATGTTTGTATATTTTAAGTTATACTAGCAGTGATGTGAATGTCCACCTTTTTTTTTTTTTTACATGTGTTGTTAATTTAGGTCTGTCTCTACGCTAAGTATTAATCAAATCAAAGAGACGCTGCACTTGACAAGTTAATGTGTGTCCTAGTACACATTATAGTATGTGACAAGTGAGGGCAACTGCCCTCTCTCAACACCACTATCTATAACAAATAAGTAACAACTACCCATTATATAGAATCTGTCACTGCTCTAAATTCTATCAGGCCTAATAACATTTGACAGATATTACATTTCATTTCATAAAAAAAATAATTCTTAAATAAATTTAGTTACCGTATAATACAATAAGATAACAGTTAACACTATTGTATGACACTAACAAAAGGAAATTAACCCTTCCACCATATTACCTCCAACAAATGCATCTCCAGCTCCATTTGTGTCTACAAGATCATCTTGATTTATGGGATGGACATCATATGATGTTACCTTTCCCTCTGTAAACAATGGAAAAATATATAAATATCCATTACCCAATTAATAAATCTTTTCCTTTTTTTAAATACTTTACTTATAATTTTCGTAGTCGCAGTTATGAGTCTCAGTGCTAAAATAAATCTTTATTTCAACAAACAAAAATTTCTTAAATTTATAACAGCATAGAACAAATCATCTAGATGTTTGGTAATTTTGTTTATGAGATTCCATTTTGTTTGCTTTATTCTTAAAATTTACTTAATTCCAACTTTCAAGTACAGTAGCACCTTGGAATTCCTACCTATGCCCCAGAATTCAAATGACTTGGAATCAAAATGAAAAATTCAAACAAATTTTTGCTAGAAATAAAAAAAGTTGCATAGGAATCTGAATGCCCATTACGTTGTTCATGCATTTTTGTGCACACGATTCCCCAGTGCTCTGGCCATCATACCCTTTGTCATTCAGTTTATTGTCTGAAGCTGTAGTGAAAGCATATCATTTGATTTCACTGCCTATTTAATGCTTTTTTGCCTGTTTTGTATTTTTAAAAATCCAGCCACATTAACAAGCTAATAAAGTAACTAATTTCTGCTTTATTTAATATGAAAGTAGGGAATGCTTTTCTACATACAGCTGTCCTGTTGTTAAAAACAGCAGAAACAATGCCACCATTTTTTTTAGCAGCAGATCCATAATTTCACTTCAAATATTTACATAATTGGTAAATCAAGCATTCTAATGTTGAAATTGAAAGCCTAAAAAGCCCCTTAAGACTATGCTAAGTAACAAATCTGAGCTCTTTACCATTCAATAAACCAGAAATATAGGCAATGTAATTCCTATAAACAGTTAATACTAATATATGTTATATATATTTAAAGTTCACATAATTTTTTATAGAAAGTTGATTTAAAGGTCACATACTGCAGATTTTATATTTTGGAAATTATTAACATTTATAGAATTTTTTTAATTAAAAACACCTACAAAAAACGAGAAACTAAATGAATAAATTTTCAAAAATTAGGACACTGTATAAAAAAAATACTTAAAAGACTTACCAGCATAAACAATAGTTGCATCGGCACCCTGGGTAAGAATAACTATTCTTTTTCTAGTTGTGTTGACCTTCTCCCAGTTTGCAATTTTCTCTGCGATTTCTTTTATATCAGTAGTCTGTGAAACAATATTTAAATTCATCATCACATCAAAATAATCTCAGGTAAAAAGTTGTAAAGATTTTACACAGAATTGTAAAGCTTTATTACGGACTAAACAATACACATTTAGGCAACAAGATGTTTTCATCAGCAGACTAAACAAAGCAAGGCTAATAAAAATAAAACCATCTTTGCTTTCATGGGTAATTATAATATGGCATTTTGAGTTCTTGCTCTATCAGTTACTATTATTAAAATAAGATTGTTACTGTAGGCGTCTTGTTTACATTGTGAAAGTAGTGCATTTACTCTTGGTGACCCCAAGTTCAGCGATGATGGGTGTGATTTAATTACAAATTGTCTCCCTTGACTGTGACTACAAGTAAACACAGTCTATAGTCTTTAGAATTCTTTAGATTTTACGAGACGGGTCGAGGTACAGAAACAATGCCGAATCCCTTTCTGGAAAAGTCTCTAAGAAAGACTATAAATAAGCCGATCAACTTAGAGCTAGAGAGACTGCGAGACAAAGAGAGGGACAGAGTTTTGCGATTACGATACTGTGTTGATATAGATATTGTATGTTATATTTACTGTGTATGTATGTGCATCTTCCAACATTGTACCAGTACAAGTTGATTGCTATACTGCAAGTCAATAGCCTTAGTTTTATTCTATTTGATTTTGTAATTTTTAAAGTAACTTAGTAAATTATTATTTGTAATTAGCCCTAGTTTGGGTATCGTTCTTTATTACTTTAATTAATGGTACTGTCCTTTGTTGTTTACTGTTTATCAACGAGCCATATATTAAAATAAGAGATTAAATTCTCTGCACTTTTAGAGGTACGTAACAACATAAATAACTAAGAGACCTTTTGAAAAATGTCTAAGCGTCTATTTGTCCATCCATCAGCCCCTCTGTCAAAAGGTTAAGTTTTGTACGCATTTTAAACTTATTTTATACTTATATATTATTAACTTGGTTTATAAAGTGATATATAATTTAATTACCAATTTTTCTCAACTTTCAAAATGATTTTTGATCTATAAAAAGGGAAAAAGTTTTTTTGACTTTACAATAACCAGTATTTTATAACAGCGTTGGAACTAACAATTTTCCTTTACTACAGAATACTTGAAATTTTTTGTGTGTTTTTGGATCATGTGTTATATTCCATACACATAAAAACTTATTCCAGTCTATATATTTTAGAAGTCACATTTTTTTTTCCCCATTATGAGGCTGAACAGAATAAAATATGTAAGAGTTGAGTAAAAATTTTAACAAGTACTTACTCCAAGATCATTGGCTTTTGAAAAGTCTGCAGCTTCCTAAATAACAATATATCGAAACAAAAAGTTATAATTTTTAAAATGGCAATTATATTGCAAATTGAAACATTTCATGTTTAAAGTAGGGATGCCAAAACTGGATTTTAAAAAAAAAAATCATTTAACGTTCATCACAAGGTATATTTTGACATACTTTATAAGTGACCTTACTCTGATTCAGCTAACCCTGTTAAAGCCTGCGGTTTGGTTTGACATGCGATGCCAGTTACTATTGTATACATTTACTGTTATTGTGTTTATTTTTTTGCCGTAAAGATAAAACAATTTGGTAACCAGTTTATAAAAATCAACAAACTGTTTTCAGTTTTCAAAAAAGAAAAAAACGTTTTTAAACATCCTTAGTTTAAAGCCTAAATGTGACAAATAAACAACCTATAAAGCAGCATCTAGGTTACATGTGGCAAACATATGAATTTAAAAACATACATCAGTGAATGGGTCTTAAAATTATGAATTAACAAAATCATCAGCTAAAAAGCCTCTAACATTTTCAAAATAATTTTATTTTTAAAAAAAGTAGGAAAAATCTTACAGATTCATTACCAAACCAATAATCCACATAAGGCAGTAATTTTAACATGGGCTCTTTAAAAAATGTGCACAAGAATGGGGCTGACATGTTCATTGAGACAATTTTATTGTTGTCTGCTGCAAATTTAGCAATCCTCAACATTGCTGATGGACACACCGTCAAAGGATAACCCTGGTAAAGATAATTTTGAAATAGAACAGATGCAAAGTAAAGAAGTGTTTCTGTTATTCATAAAACTGAGTATTATTTAATTAATTATATTTTGAATAAAATTTTCATTCCTTTATTAATGGTTCCCAACCTGTGCTCCGCAGAGCCCTATCTGCTTCAGGAAATAAAATAATTCCATTAACTTGCAATTAAGACTTTGGGTAGGCGGCAGGCCTAAGAGGATCCCCCATAGAAATTCATTCTAAAAAGGGCTACACGCATGAAAAATGTTGAGAAGCACTGCTTTAAGATACCAAGAGCATCCATAGACAAGCAATTATTAATGCAAATTATATAAAACTACAACATGCATTTTCAATTTTGTAAATCAACGATACCTTGTTTAAAATTTGTAACAGCAATAAAAAGGTCATAGTTAAAGAAAACAAACAAAGCTTACAGCAAAATAAATATATTTGGCATTTTCAACAGCTGCCCAGTTCTCTGCAATATCAAGGTGGTCTTCAGTGAAACAGTTAGCTGCTGCCAAGTTAGCAACCAGCGATCTAAATATTTTAGATGAAAAAAATAAAATTTGTTAATAATTAGAGATACATACATTTTAATTTAGCATTAAAAAAAAGTATGTTTTTTTTTTAAAAATCTGTTAATTTAACATCCATTTGAAAACTAGAAGATCAAGTCTCAGAAAAACTAAAGCCTGACTCTTAAATCATAAGTTTTAACTCTGTAGGACTAGTAGGCACTAGCACATCATGGTATCTAGAGTTGAAAAAAATGTATTCCAACAATCTGAGAATAGGAGATTGTGTTTAGATTTCAACCTTTATTTCTTGTCCCTATATTGCAATGGTAACTTCATCTGCCTCTTACCCAAAAGGGAGCAAGTCATTCCAAGCTATGAGTAAACAGGCTGAAGTATACAAATTATATAAGTACATCAGCTCTTCTTGGTGAGAAGGTAAAGCCTTGAGAAAAAAATCAGCTACCTGGTACTGAATATTGATTGAATACTGAAGCCACCTTGTCATTGGATAAAAATTTGAAATTTTATGCCTAAACATATGGGCTGAGCTGTGCAGATTTTTGTCAGGATCCCGGGTATTTTTAGATAGTACCCAGAGGTTCTAATCTGTGTATTAAAATTCAGGAATTATCTATATGAAACAAGAAATGAGATTTGTCCAATTAGTAAAATGATAACTGCATGTATAGATCCAGTAAAGGGCCATCCATATATAGCTTACATTTGAAGGTCAAATTTCCATCTCCCTATTTCCCCCTCCACCTTTGTTGCACCTGTATTTCTTTTACCACCCACCTCCCCCTTCTGCGTACTAGTACTAGTACATACAAATGAGGTTTAAAATTATTTATGGACAGTTTTAACATCAAAGTAAAAAAAATGTCTTCTCTGTTTGTTTTACATAGCCCAGTTGTTCCCAAAAGTTTCATAACTTTTTTTCAGGACACAACATTTAGCGGGCCTGATTCAAACCAGTTACGGTACTCAATTCAGAAATTGCTGTTTGCAGAAGTTCCTACATATTATGGTTTCTTGATGGCGTTTCATGACCTAAATATGTTTTATTTATTTATTTTATTATTACTAACCCTCAGTTTTAAAAAATACACTCACTATTTCAAAGTGCAGTTATTAGAATTTGACATAGCGCCTGGAGAAAACCCTAATTTGTCAATGGTGCTGCAAATTGAAAATTTTAGGAACCACTGGTGTAGCTGAACAAAATAGTTATGTCACACTAACAGGAACATAAAAAGGCAAACAGTGGTCTAAATTTTACTAGTTACTAGAGAAAGGAAAATTCTGTTGTAAACAGAAAAAATTGTGATAATAAACAAAGCTATCCATCATGCCAACTGGTTAAGATAAATAATCACACAAAATTTGCAACAAGTACATTATTATTTTCAGATCTTTGCAGTTTCATTTAGCGCACATTTAGTTTTACACCAATTACTAGTAAATTTTCTATAAATATTAATTTTATTCACATAAAATTAAAATGTAAATTAATTTTGCTAAAAATGTGCCTTTATTTTTTTGCCCGAATACAGGTATGCAATATTACGTATTTACAAGTAATCGGATCAGCACTTCTCTGAGATAAGTGCTGATCCAGTTACTTTAAGTAACCATTAAGTTAAGGATCCATTAAGTTCAGCTGTGGGAATAAATCTGAAACTTTAAGCAACATTCTCTCAAGCCATTAAGGAAATTAATTGAAAAGGGACATTAAAAAATGATCACCAATTTCAAGAGAGTAATTGTAAAACCAATTCATTTTAAAAAGTATAAGATAATAATCCTTATCAGTCTACACACAAACACTGACCTTTGTTTGCCTGTACATATAACAGCACATGTACCAGTTGGTTCCTTGTTTGTATACTGAAATTTGCCTAGTACACCTGCATTCTTTGCAGCAGATGCCAAAGTTTCTCCAAATTTGTCATGACCTATACAGCCTATGAAAGATGTTGCTTCTGGTACTTGCAGCAACCACTGTAAAAGTATTTTTTAATTAACATTTGTCAACAGCCATTACTACAATAAATTAATTTACTAATCTTTTTTCATGAATTAAAATTGTCTGGGCTTGCCATCTCATTCTTCCTCACACCTAATCAATTTATTTTTGGTCTCTACCTTCAGATGCATACCAGTACCAAAATACCTGTGCTACTCGTATAGTGTTTAGTGTAGCTCCTCCAGGAACATACTCTACATCTTCAAATTCTTTTATCATTTCCTCATACCTGTTTCCATTTTTAAAATAAAAAGTCTTTCCATAAAAATATTAATAAATATTAAAATAATCTTTAAAATCTTTTAAATACGTAAGCACTTTATTTGCTACAGTCCATTAATAAATATAAAGTTAATTTAAAAAAATTACTTGCAAATTTGCATTTCCCAAAAATGTATCTTAGCTATTGTGTAACATTGATAACAAACATAGACTAATCTTACATTGGCTTGTGTTTGTCCTCTGCAAGGATTGCATTATCTGCTTTCAAGCCATACCTAAATCACGAAGGAGGGTAAGGGTGGTATTTTAAAATTAAATGAAAATTTAGGCCCAATCTGCTTTTTTAAAATTTAATATTTTAATATCCAAAATTATAATTAAATTACACTAAATTATTGGGCACTTTTTCTTGAAACTTTAGATGGAAAAGGCATGACTTAATTATCAGTTTGGCAAGTTTTAAAATTCAGTTGTCCTCCCCACCTTTGGTGTTTTTACTGAATTTTTTTTGTTTTACGTGAATGGCAGGAGTAGCCTACTTAATCTTTGAAAGGCCAATTGACTATGTTGAAGACCTTGTCTAAGTTTAAATTAAAAATTAGCCGGCCAAATCTATTTTTAAAAAAATATTACTACAAAGTAATCTTGGTTTTGACGTTATGTCGTTATGTTAAAAGCTTGGTGGTACTTACTTTTCCAAAAATGCAGAGGTACCCTGGACTGAAATGTCCAATAGTGGGTTTCCATAGCCCAACAATATTCCCTGTCTAGAAAATGTATTTCAAAATTAGTTCAATATTTGTAATTATTTATTAATTAGGCTTTAACTTAACTATAATTAACTGGCCGTGATTTTTTTTGTATTGTTAATTACTCATAATGTCATAATACTAGGACTAGTAGGCCTACTATTAAAATTTTAGTTTAAACAGGCCCCAATTACAGTATTAAAATTAAAATAGTAGTCAATTATCACACTGAAATTAAACTAATTAGAGAAATTATCAGTAGTAATAGTAATAGTAATAGACATTAATTATGATTTTTTGCAACATTGCTTTATTATTAAATATTAATATTTAATTTGAATGAAATGATAGAATCATTTATTTCTAAGTCTAAAAGTTAGTCAACTTTTTTTTTAACCCGGCGGTACAGTTTGTGAGATTTCTGCATTTTTTAGGCTCCCAGCCTTTACTTATACTTATACGTTTTAATAATAACTCATCCTGAAGTAAGCTGGGTTAATTTTTTTTTAAATAATTTAATTCAAATATATGTGAGATCAATCATAATTATATCTGCTTTTAGAATTAAACCTTTCTAAGTTAGGCCTAAGCCTAATCAAACATAATACGCTACTGAGATGATCAATTATTTTAAGTACAACTATTACTATTACTAGTATTACTTGAGTTAGCAGGGTGGGAGGGAGATTGTCTTGACTAGGTATACTAAATTACTTTCTTCTTAGAATGCCGATATAAATAAAGAGAAGGGTGAAAATCTTTTTTTTTTTAAATTAATAAAATGTGCTAAAATTCAGTTGACACTCACGTAGCCATAACTTGTTGTTTTTTTTTTAAGCTAACAAAGTTTCTAATTGACTAGCTGTTATATTGTTGCCTTATATGGGAACTACGTTTGGACTAAGAGAAAGACTAATGGTGTGCAGGCCTTCTTATTTATACTCAGTGCTGGCACATTGGTACTTTTAAAAATAAAATCTAGATACAAAAAGAATCGACTGAAACAAAGAACTAGATCTAATTTTATTTATGAAAAACTGTCTCATTTATTTTATTTTAAAAACACGAACAAATATAATTTAATTCTAGCAACTGATTTTTTTTAAAAAAGGATGGTTACTGAAAATTATCTTTGATGGTTTTGTTATTTTTATTTCAAAGTAAGCAATCTGGCGTTTCCTGACCCCTGACCTTTGCGACCTATTAGTCCTATTTGCCACGAAATATAGGCCCTATATTTTTTTTCTCAAGGGAATAGTGATAGCACCGGCGAAAGTTAAAAAGGCATTCATTTAAGGAGAGGTCGCTGCTATAAATAAATTAAATTTAACAGAATAATATTTTAATGAAGGACTATTATACGATTTATGGTCATCCCTTATTTTATCGCGCGAATTAATATTTACAATTTACAGCACCAACATAAAAATAAGGCTGCGACTGCAGCTAATCAGATCAGGAATAAGAGTCAGATGTTGGGCTCATTATAAAATATTAGAATACTATTGAATTGTTATGTTTGTAAGACAAAATTTGATATCAAATAAAAGTTAATTGAATGAACTATATTTTGTAAATTTACTTCGTTAGTTTAACTAAAATAAACTACCACAAATGACTTCCGAATAGCATTTAAATTTAAATATTTTATTTTTGCAGTAAGACAACCATCTTAACAAAAAATAAATCTATCTATTATCTAGTCAATGTTATCTTTAAAAGCTTAAAGTTGATTTTGATGTCATGTGAGGACATCCACAAATATGGGGCACATTTTGCATTATTGGCAGAAGGAATCTGGCTGGAAATCAGAAATGAAATTTTCATCATCACCTGCTGTGTGATGAATGAACTTCTCAGCGCACACTCTTACCTCAGCATTGCTTTGCAAAGGAAAGCCAAAGTCATCCCTCTAATAACTACAAAAAATTGCTCTTGGGAGACATTGCACGGCAGCTTGAACAGATCGATAGAGACTTGCAAAAAAGCTTGTTCCGAAAATAATGAAAATCAGATTGAAGCAAACTTATTTGATGATGAATGTGCACAGAGCAAATTCTTGGGTATGAAGGACTAGTGTGAAAGTGTAACCCACGAAATTGAAGACAGATATATGGTACTGTCAAATCAATTGATTCCATTTGAAACCTTTCAGTCATTCAAAGATTTACATGACACAGATAACAGAAAGTTTGGTGAAAACTTTTTGACTCTCAACACAGGTTGCCTGCAAACCTGAAATCTTTTTTTTTTTCTTATTAAGTCCATGCTTGAAATTGGAACATACCAAGTAGATGAAACCCATTGGCCAGAAATGTTAATGCATATTGCATTGTATGCTGATAAACATTGAAGGACCTGAGATTCTAACAATAGATCTATATACAACAAAGAAACCTTGACAAGTAAGACTTATTTGAAAAAAATGTCAGACTTCTCAAAGTTATTTTGCAACTCGATTTCATTTTACTTTTTTGGGGCTCTAGTTATACCCTAACCCTAACACATGTTTGAAACCGGAAAAACTGTCCAAGTTGCTGCTGAAATTCAGCGATACAAACTAGCCATCTTAAGAATAAGTGATTCTCGATTGACAGGCTCAGGGCAAGATAAAGCTCAGCACATGGGAACTGCTTCTATACTCAGGACACGATGATGAAAATGCGGCTCTCAGCCAAGGAGTGGCACTCATGCTTTCCAGAAACTCCAAGAACGCACTTATAGTATAGGGTGGGAAGCTCACGGTCCCCGTATAGTCACGGCAAGATTTAAGACCAAAAAAACGAAAAGTCAATATGGGCATCCTACAGATATATGCTCCTACCAACAATAGTAAAGAAGAGGACTTCTACAACAGACTGCGAACCCTTTTCCAAGTGTCCTAAGAGCAATGTGGTTATACTCATGGGTGACCTAAATGCGAAAATAGGCAGCAACAACAAAGGCTATGAAGAATGCATGGGAATACACGGCATGGGAGAGATGATTGAAAATGGTGAAAGATTAGCAGATCTATGTGCAACAGATGGACTGCTCATCGGAGGAAGCCTCTTCATGCATAGAAATATCCACAAGGCGACGTGGATATCACCAGATATGTCAACGGCTAAACAAATTGACCATATCTGCATCTGCAATAAGTTTAGACGATCTCTCCTAGATATTAGGATAAAAAAGTGTGGGGGGGGGGGGGCAGATGTAGCTTCAGACCATCATTTACTGATTGCCAAACTAAGGCTTAAACTGAAAAATAACTGGACAAGCGAGGGAAGCAAGCGCCAACGTTTTAACACCAATCTCTTGAAAGACGAATCCAAACTAAATGAGTTTAAACTTACTATCTCCAACAATGTCAAGATCCTACAAGAACTAGACAATGAGGAAACAATTGACCAAAATTGGAAAGACATCAAAGAGGTATTCACGACTACCTGCGAAGAAGTGCTGGGCCATAGGCAACAAACGCATGAAGAATGGATTTCTACTGAAACCGTGGGGAAAATCCGATATAGGAAAAAGAAGATGGCAAATCTAAACAATAGCCGCAACAGAACCGTAAAGGCCAGAGCATCAGCAGAATACGAGAAGCAAATAAAGACGTTAAACAAAGCATAAAGACAGATAAAAGATCTACATAGAAGGATTAGCAAGTGAAACAGAAGAGGCAGCTTCCCATGGAAACACAAGAAAATTATTATTCAGTACATTCAAAACTTCATCTGGAAAGTTCAGCAATCCAGAGAGACCAGTTAAAACTAAAGATGGGAAATCAATACCTGATGAAGAGGGTCAGAAAAAAAGAGGGATAGAGCATTTTGAAGAACTCCTCAACCGGCCAGCCCCACAACACACACTCAACATAGAGCCAGCGGAACAAGATCTAAAAATAGATTGCAGTACACGCACAAAACAAGAGATATGCAGAGCAATTAAACAACTAAGGAAGGCAAGGCGGCAGATCCAGACAGAATAGAAGCCTTGACAGCAGATATTACGACTAGCACTGAAATGCTACACACACTATTCAAGAAAATATGGGAGGAAGAACAGATACTGATTGAGTGGAAAGAAGGACACCTCATTAAGCTGAGAATTATAGTGGTACAATCTTTGGAGTGGAACTCGCCACTATACGTCAACTTCATTGACTATGAGAAGGCTTTTGATAGTGTCGACAGACAGACTCTGTGGAAGCTGCTTAGACACTACGGGGTACCACAAAAAGTGTCAGACATAAATAAGGCTTCTTACGAAGGACTATCGTGCAGAATTGTCCACGGCGAACAAACAACTGCGGCTTTTGGGGGTACATACCGGTGTCAGACAGGGGTGTCTGCTTTCGCCTATCTTATTCCTGCTGACCATTGTTTGGATAATGAAAATGTCTACAGAGCAGAAGAGAAATGGTATCCAATGGACACTATGGAAACAGCTTGATGACCTGGATTTTGCGGATGATCTGGCCCTAATATCACATACACAGCAACAGATGCAAGAGAAAACCAGTTATGTAGCACAGTACTCTGAACCAATTATGTAGCACAGTACTCTGAACCAGTTATGTAGCACAGTACTCTGCTTGCACCGGCCTGAACATCCATAGAGGAAAAAGCAAAGTCCTTAAAATAAATACATCAAGCAACACACCTATAGCACTGAAAGGAACAAATCTTGAGGAGGTGGATAGCTTTACATACCTTGGAAGCATAATTGACATACAAGGAGGGACAGACGCCGACATAAGAGTGAAAGTTGGTAGGGCAAGAGCGGCATTTAACCAGCTAAAAAAGGTCTGGAGCTGCAGCAATTTGACCCTCCAGACCAAGGTCAAGGTATTCAACACCACAGTGAAACCTGTCTTGCTATATGGAGCAGAAACATGGCGAACAACAGCAGCTGGTTCAAAAAAAGCTACAGACGTTTATCAACTCATGTCTCCGAACGATTTTACGAATCCGCTGGCCCAACGTCATCACCAACGAGGATCTCTGGCGGCGCACAGGACAAGAACCGGTGGAAGAGTTAATCTGCCAGCGCAGATGGAGATGGATTGGCCACACCCTCAGAAAGCCCGCATCAAGTATCACGAGACGAGCCCTCACTTGGAACCCCCAGGGCAAGAGAAAAAGAGGTCGACCCAAAACGACTTGGGGAAGGGAACTGGAGGCAAACACCAAAAAGTGTGGGCACAACTGGGGACAGCTGGAGAGACTTGCCCAAGACCGGGATGCCTGGAGAGCCTTTGTTTGTGGCCTATGCCCCAGACGGGACGACAGGCGATGATGATGATGATATACCCACAAGTTTATTAATTTTTCTTTTGAACCAAGGAATAATGAATGTGTTTTTGTATTAAGGACTCTTGCTCTTATGTTTTTCATAGATGCGCAATTTAATACACTAATACTATAGTGTGGCACACAATGTTATTGTGGATCCCCAGCTGTTAGAAAATTGAACAATCACTCCTTCTACTAAGTCAAGACATGTGACCACACAGGACAGCTAATGTTGTGCTGGAATTGTGTTTTCCATTTTGAAACTTAAAATTATCCAAATTAAAATAAAGTATTTATTTATATCATAATTATTTTCGTATTTAATGTGCTTAAATGATATATGAATTTATTAATTATGTACCTTGCAATCAAATCAAAACACATTTACATTTGTTGGGATCAGCAAAAGAGTATTATCTGATCTTATATTTAAGTTTAGAATCATTCTCATTTATTATGTAAGATGATTCTAGTAAACAAAATTATTTTTAATACTACTATTAATAACAAAAACATTATTTTCTTTTGAATTGGTATATGAAAATGATATATATAAATGCCCTGTTCCCCCTCCCCCTTTCCCCCAACCAGGATCAAATTGATAGAAACAATCATCAGATAGGGATGGGAAAGGAGAAATCGAGGGCGCCGACGAAGGCTCCCTTGCCAAA